CACCCACGGGACGATATGGCGTAAGGGTTACTCTTACACCACAACTACACGTTTAGCTACTAAAGTTATTTCTTTTTTATTTTTTTATTTTTTTAAAAACGTCACCCCCACACTAGTATTTTCTCCTGTGTCGTGGAGGCAGTTTACAAGCATAAATTGCACAAGGACAAACATCCAGACCCGGAACAGTTATTTGTAAGCCATACAAATACTTGTTCCGTGCGGTATTCGAACCCGCGGCCCCCAGCGCAACAACTGATTGCTAAGCCACTGCGCCACGGAGCCGTCAATACACTGTGAGTTATATTAAAGTCTGAACGGTATACTAAAGAATAATTTATTTTAAGCTAGGTGTTCCCGCGACTTCGCAAGCGTGTAATTTAGGGTATTAATTATGTTGCGCGGTACCCTAATTCTTTTTCTAAGATATAAGTAGCTTATGTTACCCCTTATAACATCAGCTGTCTGCCAGTGAAAGTCCCATCGAAATCGTTCCAGCCGTTTTGGAGATAAGCCCGAACAAACAGACAGACAGACAGATAGATAGACTGACAGACAGACAGACAGACAGACAGATAAAATTTTGAAAATTGTGTTATTGTTATAAGTACCGTATATACTTTCATATGCATTTAGTAAAAAGCTGTTATTTTGATATTACAAATAGACACTTCAATTTTATTTATTTGTTTAGATTGCTGCTATTTTTTAATAATATCATTAATCTACCCCCACTAGATGGAGTATCGAGGTAATGAATAGAGAATAATAGAAATATATGAATATACAAAGGATCGATGAATGCCGGTAGCTCAGGAAAGTTTTTTTAGGTCTTTAATGTAGCGAAGTTTAGCAGTTGCGATTTCTGTAACGAAAACTATGATCTAGAAGATCAAAGAAATATTTAGCATCTAGTTACTTTAATATGTATAATATTTACGAGCTACATGTTAAAATTACGAATAATAGATATATCAGTTTCGCTAGACAGAAACAAAAATTTTAAATAACATTAACAAATATTCTGTGAAATTAGGATATGAAGGTCATTAGTTAATACATCGTTGCGTATAAAATTTAAATGAAGAATAATTGTCACATTATAAATAAATACTCACGTATAATTGAATGATTAGTCTCTTAATAAACTCATAAGGCTTCTAGCATACGAGTACGTAATTCATTTAAAGATTTGAAGATGGATAAATCTTTAATCGCATCTACTACTTCACTGTCAATTCCCCGACGACATAAATCCGAAACTGAGAAATTCCATTAATATTTCAAAGATTCCGTTGAAAATATTTCACCTACAGTGAACGGAACGATCCAATTCGCGATTATATTAGTTCCGTAAGAAGCGAGCATCAAAAGCGAGTATTTCAAGATTTAACTCCTAAAGAGAGCTATTGACTTAGAAAAAAAGTTTGTAAGGATCACATTCCATATTATTAGATTCTAATAATACACAGTGTCGTGGCAGTGAAAGAACATTTCCTTTACGACATAATTCCGTGGGTGTCGTACGAGGCGACAGAGAGATATAAAACAAGAAAAAAAAACGAACTATACTTAGTATCAAGCATACGAAGAAGCTCTGTATTTATTTAAATTCTTATGCTTGTATTCATTTAAATTCAATAAGCCGATTTATACGAAACTTTTCGTATCAGCACCTGTAGCTACGAGAGCGACACTGAAAGTTTTTAGAACAGACCACTTCTAAACGATATAATAAAAAAAATAAGTTCAAAATTTGAAAATGGAACTCTTTGCCAATATTATTGTGTATGTATTTTATTAATTTGTCATTTGTTTACGATTTGGTGGCAAATTGAAAAGTGTCTGTGTCACGTCAGCATGATTTTAACGCAAGAAAATATTCGTACAATGATTTATTATGACTTTCGATGTCATTTAAGTCAACAAGAAAGTTATGATAGACTTCGATTGGCCTTTCACGATGAAGCCCCATCCCGTGCCACTGTTTAGAACTGGTTTAATGAGTTTAAACGTGGTCACACTAATCTCACCGATGATCTGCGTAAGGGATGGTCTTCTACGACGACGACTGAAGATCAACATGAGTGTTGTGTGGCGTATGATAGAGACTGATAAAAGAGTCACTTATCAGAAGATCTGGACAAGCTTAGGCATCGGTGTGAGTCAAGTGCACAAAATCCTCCGTGGACATTTAGCGGTCAGGCAGCTTTGTGCCCGGTGGATACCTCATAATTCGACAGAGGCCCAAAAACTCCGTCGTGTTGAATGGTGTCGTGAAATGGTTCAAAGATTTAACGAAAATGACTTAAATGCTGTGTTCGACATACTTACGGGGACAAAAGCTGGATTTATTGTTATAATCCTGAAACTAAGAGACATTCTGCTGTATGGGTGTTTCCATTCGAGGAGCCAACTAAAGTGAAGAGAGGTCGAAGCGTGGGAAAAAAGATGGTGGCCTTATTCTTCGGAGGGACAAATCATTACGCAAAAAATGTTTTAGAGGTTCGAAAAACAGTTACTGCGGTACACTAACAATTGTTTGCCACTTGTCTTAGAAAAAGTTCGGGAGAAACGATCTCACAGTAGGATCCTCCTTCACCACGACAACGCCTCGTCGCACACCGCCAAGCAAACAATCAACTACTTGGCAACGTCTGATGTAGAATTACTGGTCACCCGCCTGACCTTGCACCTTGCGATTTTTATTTAGGTATTTCCGAAAATAAAAGAAAAACTTATAACTATTATATATTAGGAAAACGTCTTATGGACGCTGAGGAAGCAGTGGCTGCGTTTCAAGATACCGTCGAAGAGACCCCTAAGGACGAGTGAGCAAAGTGCTTTTCTCAGTGGTTCCATCGGATGCAGCGATGTATTGATGTAAATGGACACAATTTTGAAAATATATAATAAAACTAATAACTTACTAGTTTGTTCAGTTTTTGATTTTCTAAGAACTTTCAGTGTCACCCTCGTATTTGCTGTAGCTGGCCAACATCAGTAATAATAATTTGGTTTTCTATAAACCTAGTTCATCATTTCTATTAATAATATTGTTTTATTAGCTTACGGAAAGTTGTATTGCTTGTGTATTATGTTAGTACTAAAAAAGCGTTATTTCTTTCTTTTTTTTTTTGATGTACAGATTATTTCTTTTACTAATTGCTAAAGTTTAAATATAACAGTGTCTGTTTTAGTTTTAATTAAATAATACATTACGAGATACTTTTCTTAGGTGGAAAACCCGGAAATTAAAGTCCTTCAGGAGCTCTTCAATTCCATCATGATCGCACTACTCCGGAGGCACAGGTCAATGCTCTATTGAAAAACTACAGACGGTTTTCCATTTTGAGCGTTTACATACTACATTCGGGATTCATTACAAATGATCTCGCACAAACTTGATGACTTCCAGCCTTCTGAACATGCCGGTTTCCGAAAAGGCTTTAGTAACATGGACCACATAGACGCTCTTCAGTAAATTGTACAAAAGACCAAAGAGCACAATCTGCCACTTTTTCTTGCATATATAGACTTGAGAAAACCTTTCATTTCATCGACTTTTGGGCGTTGTTACAGTCCCTTCAGCACGGCAATGTTGTCTGTTGGATATGAATGTGCTGTAATGTTTGTACAATAGGGCTACGATGACTAAGTCTAAACCTATCCAAACGCAGAGGGAAACCATATAACCAGAGTTACGGGGTAGCCCAACATATCAGTTAGCTGAAGTGGCAATGGTCCGCCCATAAAAGTCAAAGAACCGAAAACCGATGAAGAAGAAAGTTTCTCAAATGGCAGCCACGTACCGGTGGAGAGAAGTGTAGTGCACCCACCACTAGACTGGAGTGATGGCCTGGTAAGAGATGCAGGAAGTCGATGGCTCAGTACAAAGCTCTGTGTTTAATTCTTGAAGAGACCTTTGTTCCGTAGTGGACTTGTGATAGGCTAATGATCGTATTGGATGAATGATGAAGTTGAGTGTTTTTTTTTCTTCAGATTATCCAGAGCTTTTGTATTATTGAAAGTAGCAGGTGGCTTATTTGAAGGCATTTTAGCCAGAACATGATTGTAATTGTTTTTTTTTAAACGTTATTCCCACACTAGGATTTACTCCTGTATCGTGTAGGCATTTCTAAAACACAAATCGTACAAGGACAAATATCCAGACCCGGAATATTTATTTGTCCCATGCGGGATTCCAACCCACGGGCCCCAGCGCAGCAACTAATTGTTAAGCCACTGTGCCACGGAGCCGTGTTGTTATTATTGTTATTCCTTTATCTTAATCCATCCATTACAGCCTATGAAAATCCACTGCTGAACATAGGCCTCCCTATAGATAGCCTCATGAGAGGATTTTGCATAGTTACGCTTGGCCAGCGGATTGTCAACGGTTTTTTTTATTATTTTGAGTAGTTATCATATTGCTGTTTGTTTTTTTTTTTCATTTGATGATTTATTAATCAGGAATATGCTGCTGCCCATTGCCTGTTTTAATTCCCCTCTGTCGCCTCTTACGACACCCACGGGATGATATGTGGGTAGTTGATATTCTTACATCGCCACTACATGGCAAACGCTATTTCACGGCATTTAATTTTTATGCAACAATAAAATAATCATATATAAGAAAAATAGAAATAGGTTCTATCCAGAGATCAAAGAAATATTATTATACTTATAAATTAATATCGAATTCAGTTAAAATCTTGTGAACTGATGACGATTGAAATGATTGTGTGATATATTCGGATAGATAACATTTTTTCACGGATCCTTTGTAGTACTTGAAACGTCAGAAGTTAAATTAAATAAAAAATAAATTAAAGCGAATATTTTTAACGTGGTAGAGTCTAATAGCAGATCAGAATACTAGCGTATAATAGCAGCTTAGAATAGCTTAGATAGCTTTAAATTTCTAACTTACAACAATTCCCAAATGGTATTTTTAAAAACATAATAAAATAGGTAGACAAAAATGGCGAAATAATTACCTGTAGCAGCCAGTAACACCTCCGGTGAAAGGTAGGCAAGATGGCCGAATGGACGTAACACCCGTAGATGCACTGAAAACAAAAATAAAAAGTTAAATATCTCTTCTAATATACATTTAAATAAATCTTCAGGTATTCTCCGAAGGGCTGGGCAGAGTTCCAAAAGCATCAAGCTACTCGAACCAAGTTTAGCCAAAAAAAACATATATATATATATATATATCTACTACTGGGCACAGGCCTCCTCTCATTACTGAGAGGGTTATGTGGCAAGGAATTGTCCGCCGCGTTACTCCAATACGTGTTGACAAACTTCACATGTCTTCGAATACTCCTCAAACGCAAGGCGGAGAGGTTAGACTTTACCGCCGACTAGGCTAAGTTACGCTACCGATTAAATTTCCGATAACTCTAACAAATATTCTTAATGCCATGGAATTGATGGTCTTCTATTTTAAATATCGTGTGTTGTAACTGTAAAGAAATAAAGTACTCTAATCAGCCAGTGGTAACATTTTTATAATATAATTTAAAACATTGATAGCCAAAAAACAAAGACTGGCCTAAAATAGATGAAACAAATAATTTCCTTTATATTTAAATCCAAATAACATTCAATTTATCAATCATTACAATGTATCAGATTTGTAAAGGTTTTATTTTGTTGGAATCAAAAAAAAATATTTGATCACATGACATTTATATCTACAAATTATACGATAACATCAAAGGAAAACTTGCATAACTTTTATATTACATATCTTATTACTAATTCTTTAAAAAAAAACTATATATTATAAAATAGCTTTTGCAAACATTCTCCATTTATGCACTGTATGCTATCTTAAACGAGACAAACTCGTAATTGGCACCTGCACTAGCTTCGTTACTTAGAAGTTTGTGTACAAATAAATATTTGGTCAAATAACAAAAGAATGCGGGAGTTTCAAATGAGTCAAGATTTTTCTTTATAAATTCACATCCACGCCTTTAAAGATGGCACTACTAATAGTATCATATTTCTTCTACTTCAACAGCCAATAAAAGTCCATTGTTTTATATAAGCCTTCCTCACAGATTGCATCATAGTTTTTTTTTTAGATTAAATATGTACATAGAATTTGAATTACAGTGTAAACTATAATAAACCGTACTTGTTAGTAGGCAATTTCGGACCATAGTTGGAACAGTATTATATTAATTCTATGTGGCAAACTGTTGTGTTAATATCATCTGTACTTTAACTCATTTAAAATGGATAATACAAACTAGTTAAGTGGAACGTGCCCGCGCGTCCTAATTCATTGTCTAATTTTATTTTCAAATATTATAAGAGGGTTTTGAGTGCGTGCCTGACTACAAATTCACTTCTTTCTTCCATCGCGTTGACCACAATTAAGGTCAACCTCAAAATTGCTTAAATCATGCCAAGAATGAGCTCTCATAAATTTTTTACCTTAATTTTATTTTATTTCCTACTTGATACTTTATTATAACGCCTAAAATGTATAAAGATGTGTCCTTAATGCGTTTGACCGCTGGGCACACAATTATATATAGGAAATTTATGGGCACAAATATTCCTAAGTACAAGTTAGCTTATGACGTTTTCGCTCACCACTGAGCACGTGGTAAGTCAGCGCTTGAATATACAATTAACAATTACCGTTAGTGCCGCCGGGATCTAACCCAGGTTACTCACGTACTATGAAATGTACGAAGAGCGCCTTAGCAGCGCTGTGATACTGCGGGTTCGAATCCCGCACGGAACAAATGATATTTGTATGACCTACAAGTAATTGTTCTCCGTCAATTAGTGATAAAGACAATAAAGGAAAAAGTTGACACAGAACACAGATGTATTAGATAAAAATAAAAGAGTGAAAATTAAGAGAGCTAAGTAAGGTGTATTAGAAATCAGAACAACAGAGCATCTGGACTTCAATTAATGAGAATGCATTGTATGACAATACATGGTAACATAATTAATAGAATCAGGCGTTACTTTGCGGAAATCCATTATATTAAAGATGTTACAATTTTTTTTTTATAGGATAGGGTGACAAACAAGCACACAGTACACCTGATGGTAAGTGGCTGCTGCGGTCCATAGACATCTACATTTATCCTCGTTTGCGAATCATAATGCAGACGCGTTGTCACCCGTGATGACTAAGATGGAATGGCTCTCTTCCAGCAAAAAGGGTCTACGGCTCCCTACACTCACCATACGAAAACATAGAAGTGTTAAGCTGCTATTTTACGCTGGTATTCTGTGAGAGCGTGGTCCTTCCCCGGTTGAGCCGACCCATTCGCGCTACAACCATACCACTCACACAACTGCAGCATGGCTCTACAACGTAAAAAAATATTATCTAAGATCCAGGTAATAAAATAAACACTATAGTATACAGTGAACGCCATTATTTTATTTCACTACGTGAATTTTAGCTATTTTTACGTGATTGCACGCCGCAGCTATATTATGGTGGTAGCACAAATGAGTCGGCTCAGCCGGGGTAGGACCAAGCTCTCACCGAATACCAGCGAAAAATAGCAGCTTCATGTCACTGTGTTTCGTATGGTAAGTTTAGAGAACTGGAGAACTTTTTTTACTGGACGAAACCTTCCATCTTAGTGCTCACAGGTAACAACGCATCTGCATGCTGATTCTTAATATACTTAGGATAAATGTAGATGTATATAGGCATCAAGTAGACTGTGCTCGTCCCTCATTCTATGTTAAAAAAGTCAAGAAATCAAAACAAACACTACATGTTCTAGGGGTGGCACTAAATAAATAATGAGCCAATACTGCAATCAGCAACAAGTTTCTCGCTCATGACTCACACTGTCGACGGCGCGCATTCAGCAGCCCTAGGCGCGCGGCATGTATTATTCAATTCGTGTCCTTAGGGATGTGGCAAGCGGTGCGGACTGATGATACAACTTCGGCAGATGCTAACTGCCGAAGTTGTACCAATTTATGTGGGATACTAATTTGTACCTTTTCTCTTTTATCATCAGTCCATAAAATTTAATTATAATATAGGCCTCTTGACTGCCTTAGTCGTCACGCTTGGCAGGCGAACTTTCACAATATACGTCTGATCTGACGTGAAGGAGATATTCAAACTGCTATCAATCGAAAGCCATGAAATTTTTTGATATCGTCACTAGGTGACGATATCAAAAAATTTCAGAGATTACCAGATGCAATAATTAAAAATCCGGAGAAGAGGCCTGACTTCCATTTAAAAATCCTGAGATTTTTTACAGTTTGAGAAGAAAACCTTACTTTAAAAGGTATCTTCACATATTAAGTATGATAAAAGTGTTTAAGTACCTACTTGGATAAATAATTTTTGATTTTAATTGTGGAATTATTACCAAAGGAAAATTATTTTTAGTTTGTTTAATTTTTTATTAAAGATATCTTTAAAATGTAAGCTGTATTATATTGAAAGTTCAAAAACCCTGAGATTTCATGAGATTTGCAAAATCCAGCCGCAATCCTGAGAAGAGTCTAAAAATCCTGAAATCTCAGGACAAATCCTGAGATATGGTAACCCTATCGTCACCACTTAAGGTACTATGTTTTTCTTTTATATATGTTACGGCTAAAAGCCGAAGTACGTTTACACCTAGTTCTAGTCGGCTGGAACTAGGTGCGGCCAGGAGTAGTTGGTTAAATTTAGGTATACTGTTAAATTTGTAAAAACACTGATATACGTATCAAGTAATATCAGTAACAGTATGTTAGCCGCAGACACTCATTTAATTAATAAATTTTATATGATACACCTAAGTTTAACCAACCGCAATAGGTTGCACCTAGTAGTAGCCGGCTAAGCTTAGGTGTCTCCGCACTTCGGCTTTTAGCCGTAACATATATATATATATATATATATATATATATATATATATATATATATATATATGTGTGTGTTACGGCTAAAAGCCGAATATAGAACTAGTTGTATCTCGCGGTTTCACCCGCATATATCACGCGTCTGAGCCGCGTGACATAACACCTCAGAGGCGTTTACTGCTGGTTTTTATCTGTTCTCATCGGCCATGCTAGGTGAAGGGTGTAGCCTAATACTAGATAGCTTATACTTTTCCTCATGCATCGGGCTACAATTAATAGAAAAAGAATTTTTCAAATCAGACTGGTATATTCAGAGCCTAACCTGTTTAAACAAACAAAAAAAATACAAAACAAAACTTCAGCTTTACTATAGTATAGATAAAAAAATAAAACAATTGAAACTCAATTTTCACAATTGAAACTCAGTTTGAGTTTATACCTGGATATTTATACTAAAGGTTTACTTTGAGATTTACTTTATATCCGCAAAGAGATTTTTTTTGAAAATTAAAGTGTGCTTCTCTCAAAAAGACAAAGGCGTTTATTTCCTACATTGAGTTTCCTTTAATAGACTTAAATTTAGAAAAGCTTTATTTTTTGTAAAAGGAAAAACATATTAAATGTATCTATCATCATCATCGTTACAGCTTTTCAAAAATCCATCGCTGAACTTGTTATTTGTATAGCGCCCTCTAGAATAAGTATTATGTTATACTTAATTTTTCCAAGACCATAAACAGCATAAAAAATTAATTACTCATATCCATCATATGAGGCGTAAGATACGGTCTTAAGTTCATACAAAAATCACTTAACGAAAATAACGTTAAGTTTTCTCGAATTTGAAAAATTTCCGGGAAACTTTACCAATTTTTCTTTACATTAAAACCTAATTTAGACTATTACGACCATTTTAGAATAAAAATATCGAAATCGGTCCCGTTGTTTTCAAGTGATGCGAATACGAAAGGACAGCGAACAATATTTCGTTTTTATTTACATCGATTTCCTTTGAATTTCATTAATTTCGAGTGACTAATGCATTTTTAAGTTTACTGCTGGTGAAAATGAGTGTACTTTATGCAATAAAAATTAATTTAATAATATAAATGTGATATTGCGTAGTATAAGTAGCGAATTTTAGTAATACCAGGTAGTGGCAACACGTAGTTCGCTAGAGAAAAAAGAGCAACTTTTTACAAAGCTTTGGGATTAGTCCGAAATATTTCCCGCGATTAAAGAGGTTTCTTGCGACGAGGAGGAAAAATACGCGGCTTTTAGACAGAGGGCTGGTAATAAAAAAGGATGGTTGAAAAAACTGGGGATCGTCATTAAGAGAATTATATTTAATTCAACAGTCGGTTTGACTATTTTACATTACGCCTTAAATTAAAACCAAATAAAATTTAACCGAGCTCCACGATTTAGAAGGTTCTATATTCGACGCGTATCTTTTTTAATTTTTTTTACCGATTTCTAGGAAACAACTAAAGCAATTTTAACGATTCTCTCGATTAAATAGGTTGTACTTCAGGGGGTTATATAAATCTATAGAAAAAAATTCGCCACTAAGAAAGGACTACTAAAATAGTTGTTACCTTGAACATGTGATATTCTTTAGTCTTTAATAAAACTAATTATACAGAGTTCATCGCGTTTACAGTTTAATATTCACTGCCTCATAATTTCATCTCGTGAGTGTCGTAAGACAGAAGGAAACAGGAGGTGGTCAACAGCGTTTCCCTAATAACGACTAAAAATAAAAACTGCGGTTAGCAATCCGCTTGTCAAGCGGGATAAGCAATCTGTGGCCTATGTTCACCAATAAACTTTAATAATAATTTAACTTACTTTTAATTCATGACGATTCGGGTGCTTTACAGAATCCATGGTTACAGTGGTGTTTGAAGTGCCGATTTCATAGTTAGCCTGGACTTCCTTTAGCTTTTAAATATAAAATAAGTTAAATTTAACTCAATAAAATCCGTCTAATATTAATTAATTTCTAGTATTCGTGTAAAATAAGAAATAGCTGGTACCTGGTAAATATCGTTTTAAATTTGGAAGATTTTTTTTTAAATTAAGAACGATAACACATTCATTGAAATTGAACGATGTATAACTTTCAAATTAATTGGTTGGTACGATACGCGCGCCACGTATTATAAGTTAATTGTACTATGCCTATAACCTTCGCACATGTGTAAGCAATAAGTTGACAGTTTTACCGCAATCTGATGAACGGTATTGCACCGAAAAAAATATTTTATATATTAGATTAGATCATTATTACTTAGTCTCATTCATTCGTTCATCAGCCTATCATAAAATAAAATTCCGCGAAATTTGGTCCGAAGGAAAATATTATTACAGCGGGAATTTAAATCGTAGTTGACCACTCAAAAGGGTCAAACTTTTTTTTATTGTTTCTAGGTTGGTTTTACATTTTTTTAATTATTATTTTACGAGTAATGGAGTTTAATTATTATTACAAGAAACTTTACACTGCACATTATATTTAGAGAATTTTCTCACATACGTAAAATTTTATTGTTATTATAAAACAGCACGCCCCAAAAGCCAGGCTCGTCCGGGACCACCCTCAATCGAATAGAGAACATATAAACCTGGCAAATGGGCACTCGGAATCTAAATCGGGTGCCCCAATTGCCGAATCGTATTTTTGCTGGACCATCCGACCTTAATAATCAGTTACGAAGTGGTTCTTCGAAATGTCTATCCAAAGTCTAACGTTTTCGATGGAAGACAATTGTAAAGCTTCAAGCGATTGAAATATATCACTGTTACGGTAATACTTCTCTCGTAGCGTGGTAATAAACCTTAATGCACAAATTAAAAATCGATGATTATTATAAATGTTTATTTGATAATAAGCTTTAAAGATTAAATTCCGACATAAATTGAAAACTCCTTTGGTGGTCATTCATCTTCATCATCATCATAACTACAGCTATTCACAAGTGCACTGTTGAAGACATGTCTCACTCAAAAAATGCCACAAAGTACGGTCCTGAGACACCAGCATTCATCGACTAGTGAGGAGCCACGCTACACTTCGTTTATCATCTTTATCAGTCCCTAAGATTCCACTACTTAACATGACTGTATTATATTTTTTTTTTCATTTGCCTAAATTATCACGCTCCCAATTGGGTTGACGATCGCAATACAAACTTTGCGCACTTTTGACACTGCTACCGATCACCAGTTTGGGCGTTTTATACCTGGCGTAAACGAGTTAGTTTCCTAACGCCATCTATCGTACATCACAAGATCTTCTTTTTTATATATCCCTTATTCTTTGATATATCCCTTAGTCGCCTCTTACGTTGCCACTACAGCATGTTTTAAAAGTTTATAACTGTATTTTAGTTTGTGAGTGTATTTGGAAATAAAATATGTATAAAACTATGTGAATATTAATGATACTGACATAGCACAATATCTTAAATGTATTACATTCTATTTAATATTTTATCTATGGAGTAAAAATACCGTTACCGTTACCGTTACAGGCTATGAAAGTCCACTGCTGAAGATCGGTCTCGTCTATAGATTGCCTCATAGAGAGGATATTTGCCATAGTTGCCACGCATGGCAAGCAAATTAGCAACCACAGTATTTTTTTATATTTAGTCGTTTTCGCTGCTGCCTATCTCCTGATATGTTTCCCTTTGCCGACTGTTACGACACCAACGGGATGAAATGGGGTAGTAGATATTCTTATACCGAAATTACACGGTAAGGATAAAAAAATCCATATATAAATAAAAATAAAAAGGATGTACATTGAATAAAACTACTTTTACGGATTTTTTCGCATTTAATTAACTTATTTTTATTAATTCCCGATGTTTTGTGTGCTTTACAGCACCCAGCTCCAGATTTTTTAATTATTAATTTGGTCCGATCTACGCAGAATGAACTTACTATATCTTGAAGTCTTGCAGTGGTATGCTTGGGCTTAGTTTTAATT